AATTTATTTTTATCCATATTACTGCTCTGGACAATTGTACAAAGTGTAAAGTGAATTGTACTGATTTATTTTTATCCATAAATATGAATTGATATTCTTGGATATTGTTTCTTCTAAGTAGTGAGTTAATTAGTTATCTGGGCAGAGGTGTTGTCCAAACAGGTTTTTAATTATTACTCCCAACTTGACTTTTAAGTTTGACCCAACAAGCTTGTTCACTGGAACAAGTTTCATATATTGAAGAAAGGTCTCAAATGTGTTGTTGCTGCTGGAACTCGTGCAGATATGAAATGTTATCTTTCCGTGTCTTATATTTTTACTTCGGTTTATTACACGATTTATTAATTAAAAAAGCACAATCTAAACCGATAACCGCATGATAACCGCCCGATAATAGCTAAACTGATACCAACCCACCCGATATCTTATCGGGTGGCTAGCAGATTAATACATTTAAAAGCCGATAACTGATAAGCCGAACCGTTAAGAGTAAATAACCGCCCGATCTGCTCGATAAGCAGCCCTACCTAACCTAGCCATACAAAGTTGCTTACCTCATACTGGCTCAGTCAAATAACGGTAAAAACTTGCCTAATCGGTTGTTTACATCAGCCCAATAACATGACACATTTATTCATATGCACTCTTATTATTATACTAGAGTCCATTACTCATATGGTCACTTAACTTTCCGAAATTATCTATCAAAGTCAATTTATTTTTCGTTTATAACATCAACGTCACTAGCTCTCAGAAAGTCACTCACCCAAATTTATCAAACTTTTGATTGGCAAATACCTATTTTACCCTCTAAATTATCAACATTTATCTTCTATTTTTTTTCTTTTTTAATATTATGATTTTTTTCTCTTTTTAATCAACATTATGGACTTATCTATAGAATTTTGTTTTATTTAAAATGAAAAATAAAAAATTCTAACATTATAAATTATAATGTCGAAATAATATTTATTTAACTTCTACTAATACCAAAATGCTCTCTAAATGCGAGCAGCTGCTACAGTGATGTAGTGGTGGTCTCATGACCGTTGCTCCGTCGTCCGGCGGCCAAAAGCCACCGGACCAGTCTCAAAAGAACCCCATAGCTATTGCGCACTTTCCTCAATTGGTTTCATCCTCACTTTCAAATTGAGTTGCTGAAGATCTTCAAAATGGTGACGCGATTGCTGTAGCTCGAACTCGCAATGGAACTGCTGGAATTTTTCAGCACGCTTCTGGTTCAGATTTTGCTATTCGAAGCCATGGGGTTTGTTCTCCACATCAAGAGTTATCTCTCCGACAAAAACCAGTTCAAGATTCAAAACGAGCTGCTCCAGAAGGTCACCTGGGCAGATCTGAATTTTCCCATTTCGACTCTGCTTTACACCCTAACAACAGTACCCATAATGATACCAAACAAGAATCATATGCTCTTCGTTTGAATCAAACACAAGACGCAACAAATCTAATGAAGACAATTATCAAGAAAACTGAAGTTGTTCATGGAATCCCAACTCTGCAATTTACAATGGTGGAACGGGAAGATTTTGCAAGGGAGGAAGGGTTGCATCAAGCAATTGTTTTGAAGCTATCTCCTAATGCTCCGGATTTGCAAGACTTGCATACAATTCTGCTAAAACAGTTTGGTGTCAAAGGACACTGTTTGATTGGGATTCTTACGCAAAGACAACTCCTCATACGACTGGATCAATATGACGACTCTGTAATCTGTCTCGCTAGGTCAGTTAATTATTTTACGAGCAAGGAAAAGAACATCAGGTTAGAGTATTTCCATGGACGATTGGATACAATCCAAAAGAAGAGGCATTTATGGCAGCGGTATGGATTTTGTTTCCAAGTTTACCACTTGAGTTGTTTGTTAGGTGTTCCTTAATATTCATTGCATCATCTTTTGAAAGGCCTATTGCTATTGATAAGGCTACTCAACTTAGGTCTAGGCCTTGTAAAAGTAGGGTCAAGGTGATCCTGGATATCTTGGACAAACATCCTGAACAAATAAGACTCAAATATGTTGACGGAGGAACTGGAAAGATTATTGAGCAGCTTTAACAAGTTATTTACGACAACTTACCTTTGTATTGTAATCACTGCAAGCATCAAGGACATGACGAAAGTACATGTCGCATCCTTTTAGGAAAAAAACGAGCAGTCCATGACGGATAAGTGGAGGATGTAATTGATGCAACATGTGTGATTGAGAAACTTCAAGGTGATGCAAGGGATTTTTTAAATGAAAAAAGATCTAGCCAACAACTGACAGAAGGATCTAAACGAGATGCAACTACTAGACAGCAAAATACATTGAAGGCTTAAGTAATGCATCCTGCTGCTGATGGTTATGTTCCAACTGTTGGAGCTCTAATAGATCAGCGGATGTCTCATAATCAAACTGGACAATTGTTTGCGAAGGAAATAGGGAATGGATCAACTATGGAGCAGGGTAACAAGGCTGCAGCTGATCTTGAACAAGTTTTTGGTGAGAAGAAGCAAGAGCAAATGTTACGACTGGAAAAATCCAACCATATTGAGCAGGCTATCAACTCTGGGATTTCAAAGAATGTTGATACTGTTCCTGTCGACCGTGCCTTAGCTAGAATGTCTCAAGCTATGGATGTAGAAGTAGGGGATATGGTGTTGAAAGGTAGGCGTAATGACAGTGATATATTGGCAGTAGCAGGAGTTGATCGAGCTCCTAAAGCAACAAGTGTTGAGGCTTTGGAGTGTGCAGATGCTACAGATTCTAAAGCTGTTAATATGGAAAATTCAGATACAGTTGTGGAGGCTAATACTGGGGCTTTGACACATAATGATGTTTTACGTATTGTCGATCGAGAAATAACTGATCCTAAGGTTAAAGGTGCTGTGCAGCTGGAGGTAGTTGCAGCACAAAAATCAGAAGCTCAAGTTATGCTAAATACTAAAGCTGAAAACTGGGCAGTGGTGCATCAATCACATCTATCTCCAAACAACAAGAATGACACTGCTCTTACAAAGCTGGTAAGTGCACAAAAGGATATTAGTATCTCTAACTCTTTTGCTGCGTTGGTGAATGAATGTGGTGTGGATAGCAATCAGATGGTAGCAACAACTATTACAGATAATGAACAGGAGGATGCTGTGGGGATTTTGCAGCATAAGCAGATAACTGAAGGTCCAAGAGTTATGCAGGAGATGTCTCCAGGCAGTAAAAAAAAACCCAGGCCATTAGTTTCAGTTATGGATGGCAGGGCGGTTGCAGCTACTGAAGCAACATCAACATTACATATAGTAGATCCAGGCTAGGCTAAAATGATTAAGGAGTTCCGGGCAGCAATGTTGATGCATATTACGGCTAAGGCTACTATGAAGGCTGATGAATTGCTTCAATAGGAAACGACTAGATTGAA